TGAGGGTTTATTTTTCCCTCGTCTTCCACTGTAAGCTTATACAAACTTACCGTGAGCTGTGACTCCTGCGCGATGAGGCTTATTCCTAAAAGTACCATAAGGTCCCTCCCCTATAAGTTATAATCAGCTTCTTCTACTAGCAACAAGTTCCCCAAGCATACTTTATTTTCTGATTCAATTTCAACATCTTTTATCACCAGAACCTTAAACGGTTCCCCCTTTGCCCCAATTACCATCATGGAGTCTTTGCTCCGTGAACATCCCCATGGCAGGTGCTGTACCGTGGTCCTCTCAGCACCTGAATCTACTAAGAAAGTTATCTCTTGTTTGTGGGGTCTGATTTTGAGTTTTATCAAGGGCTCTCTTGGTGTTACGGACCCCAAATTGAAGAGCCCCTGACACCTCTAATCCTCCTGAAACATTTTTTCATCCTTGATCCTTTTCTTGCATTCCCTCCGGAAATGCCCTTTTTGCTTGCAGTAAAAGCACTCAGGAGCCCCCCGTGACTTGGCTGCCGGACCTTTAGTTGGGCATGCCGACTCCTTTACCGTCTTTCGGGTCTTCTCTGCCCCCCCTTTTGCAGGTTCCTGCTTTTGGGCTTCCCTGACCGCAGCCACCAGAACCTTTGCTTGTACCTTTTGTTTTTCATCCTCCCTCCGCATGTATACCCTCTGAGCCTCCCACAATAGTTCCTCTAAGGACCTTTCTTGCCAATCCTCCAATTTTTCCAACTTTTTCCACATATCCTCCCACGATTTTGCCACAAATTGGGTTTTCAATAATATGGCTCCTACCGGGGAGTGAGGATCAGTGCCAGAATACATCTGGAGGCTTTTCCGTAGCCTCTCCAGCCACTCCGTAGGAGTCTCGTCCCTCCCCTGACGCTCCCCCAAGGCTTTTCCCAAATTCTGTCCCTTTGGCACAGCCCCCTGTATACCTTGAATGACCATGTACGTTAACTCCATCATCTTCTGTCTGTCTTCCTCTAGTTGGGCGTTCTACAGTGGCCGTTGGCTGGGCCACTTAGCCTCCCCACTCCCCCCTTGTGGGTTTCTGTGTTCCCAATCCTTAATCGCCACTGTCCGGATCATGTCCCGCTCCTCAGCGTTAAACAGCGATTTCAGGATAGCACAAATATCATCGTACGAATAGATGCTATTTCCCAGAAATTCATCTAGCCGCTCCGCCACCCCCAGGGGATCATCCATAATTTTCCCCATCTCTTTCTTAAAGGCCCGCACAACCCCGGAATTTATTGGCACATTCACATAACCGATAATTCCCGGAGCGGTTGGGACTTCCCTCAGTGGGAAGAGCCCTTGTTGTCCCTCCTCCTCCCAGCCATCATCCGAGTGTGTTTTTCGGGTTTTCTGTCATGTGCAACTTGCAGGTGGGGATCCCATCCCTGCTGGCAATGTCGCCTGTGTTGTGTGTCCCTGGGGAGGTGCAGAGGGATGGCTGGAAGACAGGGTGAACCCCGACAGGGAGGGAGCGGTAGGCTCGTGCTCCCCGGGCTCCTCTGGTGGAGGTGCCTGGGGTGTTACAGGGGGTTGGCCGGGTTCGGGGAGAGGTTGGAGTGCCCAGTGATTTGGCTACGGGGGAGGTAAGTTCTCTAAGGGTTCCCACACTTTTTCCAACACCCTTTGTTTCTTATATGTTTTTACAGGGTATAATGAGACGCTAGCACATTCCCACATCCCCGCATATTCCGTTTCTTCCCGCGTTGCCCCCCCCACCATGTACAAATTCCCTCAGAGTCTGGCAGATTTCTCTATTGAATGACCCGAATATAGGCCACACCATATGTTTCTTAACTTCTACATGAGCCCATTTTTCCATACAGAAGAACACGGCTCTTTCTTTAGATTTTTGTTTCCTCATGGGGCACACTCCTCCCAATGTTCCAACATCCATCCCAAAGGGCTATACCTCGGGATGTCGGGGAGGTTCAACTTCCTGCTGTCCCGGGATTTCTCCTGAATTTTGCTTTTCTTCAAGCCCATGTTGAAGACCCTTTTCCTCCCCCTTTTCAATCCGCTTTTGTCTGATTTAGTTAGTACACGCAATGAAGCCAGACAACCACCATCAATAATTTCCTTGTTAACTTATTAATCGTGTGGAGACCCGAGCCACAGACTTTCTGTTAACATGTTTCTTACCTTCTCCCTGGATCCAGCGAGGTTCCTCGTTCCTCCTGATCCTATCATTGGTCCCCAGCACCCCCACCTTTCGTTCCCCTTTTCTCCCTTCTGGGGTCCCTCCGTGTGTGTTCCCGGGAAAAGCCCGTACTTGCTCCCCGCTTTCCAGGGTATTCAGGGTTCGGGTGTCAATGGTCCCCCGATAGGCATCTCAGCTGGTGCCATCCTTTGGGCGTAGGGTCGTTGGCCACTTCCCTTTGGCAGCTACAATCTCGTTCTCATGCAAATGTCCCTCTGCCGTGGTTTCAAAGTGTGTCTCCAGGCTGGATTTCTTAACCTGAAGGGAATGAGAGGAACCCGCCCCCCTTCTTCTCTTCCCCGGTTTATTTTATTTATATCAACTGATACACCATTTATTCCCATGAATTATTACCCGTATTTCTAACAGCAGTGCAGGGAGACAGGCGGGGGTGTGGTACCACAGTGGCAGAGACATTCAAGTCTGTCCAAAGAGATGGAGTCGAACACTCGTGTTGCATGTCTCACAGCAGCTGAGGTCAAGACAGTCACCCAGACAAGTGAGAAGCTAGTCACTGCTAGCAAATGGATGGTGAAGAGGCAGTCACCAAGTTTCCTTCCTTACAAGTATTACAACCACATTAGCTCCTGATAAATCAAGGTTTTCATGTCACAAAAACTCTAATAGACACTGAAAGGTTGTCATACAATAGTTATTATAAGGTACAACTGTTTGTAAAATAAGCATTAGAACTCATGTTACAATATTCATTATGGGTGTTTGCATTTGTTAGAACCAAAATTAACAAGCCCATTATCAGTAAGGTGTTATATTTCTGCTCAGACTATTAATGCTGTGTATCAGGGAAGCATTAGTGTATACATTATTATGTATTTTTTTAATACTCCTACTAATTATTGTCATGGTATTTCCAGAAGGATGGCTAAGACCCAGGGGGTGTCTACTGAGATACCCACAGCAAAATTAATTTATCATAGGCAAATTTCAGTTGCAAAGTTCTTCAAACTGAAGTTTTGCCATTTGTCATCATTCTAAAAAAACTGAAAGTCAAATATTAAATCACTAATAAAATTTCTAACTTCTAACAACTTAGAAATTTGTTTAACAAGGCAACAAGAGAGTATTGCTTATACTGTAAGTCATGTTAAAAAAATTTTGCTTTGTTTTGCACTGGATATTAATATAAACTTGGTTTCATGCAGGGAATCTCTCCCAACCAAGTCATTGGCTGATCAACCTATGAACCTGGCTGACAAAGATTCTGTGCAAAAAGGCTAACCCTTTTCTTTTGAGACAGGCATCGAGGCTTCGTCCGAAAGTAGCCCTCCAAGTTTGCTCATAGTGAAAACCAGACCTTTTAGCAATCCCCTACCTTATTAATACTGTTAGGAAATGCATGTTTTATTTCTATTTCTACTTATTATACAAATAAAAAAGAGGGAAAAAAAAGTTTGGGATCATGGTACACCCCTCCCTTCTTGAGTTTTGGTTGGTGTCATGTTCTTATGTTTTACAATAGGTCATATAACAGTACAATATTCCTATGAAATCCAAGGTAAAGGACACTGGACAGCATTCTGAAGTCTCTTCAACAGAACAATGGATCACAAATGACCACCTACCTCATGGACAGTCAATATAAAGACTTGAAATGTTTACAAAGTATTATCCTTTTTACAAACTGTTTTTCTGTTTACATATTGTTTTCTGGGTGTTGGGCTCTTCAAGGGATAAATGAGTTACAGGTTGTCTTTAATAGATGGGCTTTTCTATAAGGGTTAAATGGGTTAAAGGTTGAATGGGTTTTGTTTTTTCTAAGTGGTAACATATAAGCATTGTGCCTGTGGCCTGAGTTCTTCCCCAACAGATACTGAACAGAAATGCTGCAGCTTCTCTGCAAATTTGGCCATGCTGTCTTTTGTTGTCCCATTTGTAAAGGGCCCTTGCAGATGGGTAACAGAAAACAAATTACAAATTTTATTAAACAGAGAAGGGTGATATGTTACCAGATGTCACATATGAGCTTGCTACCAAGCCCCGGGATTAACTGACAGGGGCTTCTCCCAGTCAGATCTCTTATGAAGCTGCAAGCATTTCACTGGCCAGATCCTGAGGGGGCATGGAGTTCAGCCCAATGAGAATATCCAGACAGGGTCTTTCAAAAGTCTTTTTAAAGGGTAGCCTGGGAAAATTAACTTCCTCTGTGCCACATGAATATCAGGGGTAAGTTGTGTCTCTGTCTCCTTGCCCCTCATCCCCCACGCGCAACCAAACACCCCCTGACTATTACACAGTGAGGAAGCAGCATTCTTAGGCAGTCAGAAGTAAACAAGCACCAGGGTTGGGAATGATGAGTAATTGCCTTTAACAAAACATAGCTACAGCAAGTATTTCACTTAATGTTTAAGACATGTCTTAAGGCATTTCTCACAAGACCCATGTGAACCCAGACCAAAATCACTGAGGGAGGTTCAAGCACTTCACCCTCCAGAATTCTACAGATATGGCATTAAAACAGAAGTAGTATTTGGAAACCATTTTGTTCTTTTCAAGCAAACTGGAATTCTGGTTTGTGATAACACATCAACATTTACTTTCCAAACACAGCAACACTGCATATTTCAACTCATGGGCATGACTGAATGTCCTGGGCTGACTATATGATGCTTTTATCCCCAATCGTCTTGTTCTGTTTATACTGAATAATAAGTTTTACACCTTTAAGACTCTCTTCCAGAGAGTAAACAGAAGAGGGAAGAAGCGCACAGTTTGTTTTCAAACTGCACTCACTCCTCCACATTCCTACTCCTGGACTGTGTTGTCTGCGGATAAACAAACAGCAAGACAGAGCTCCTTTTTTTCCCTTTTTTTGCTTTTAGTTAGTTTTAGCTAGCTGAAACAAAGAAGTTCCCTGGACTGTGATTTTTCCTTTTTCTTGGATCTGTTCAAACCCACTCTAGACTGAACACCCAGAAGAGAACCGGCAGCTCCACCTGTGGCCCCTTGGCCGGGCCTGGGCCGCGGCATTTCCAGCACCAGAAAAACTAATCAGAAACTGAATAAGCTGAGCTGCAATCCGGGGAGGGGACTGTTCTGAGTTTACAATTTTTTTTTTAGAGCAGTAAGAAGTTTTATTATTTAATATTATTTGAGTTCTATTGTTTAATGAACAAGTTTCTTTCCACTTTTTTCTCCAAAGAAATATTTTTTCCCAAAACAGTTAAAAGAAAAGAGAAGCAATTAAATCTGCTTTTGTAAAGAAGCCCCTTTGAGAGTTATCTCCCAAACTTGCCCTAAACCAAGACACTGAAAAAAAAAAAGTCTCTTCCAGCAGGTAGAGAATTTCTCAGTATTTCTGTGCCTCTGCTCTTTAAAGATGTATTTGAAATCAACACTGTTTGCATTTCACACCAATATCAGAGTAACATTACAGAAATTCTTTTACATTATCACTTGATTTATATTCATTTTATTATAAAATAAATGCAAACCAAAGTGGTTTTACATAAATATATTTTAAAAAAAGTCTAGTACTGAGTAAATAGGGTCTGCCTAGAGGTTTTGGAGTACCACCAACACAAAAGTCAGTTTTACAGAGAGGAAAAAGTACCAAGAACCTTAGGGACACCTTCTCATCAAGGCTGAACAGAGGAATCTGGATGACCAGATATTCTCAGGTAGACAGGATTGTGCCTTGTCACAAACTTCTTCAGCAACCGAAACCTTTTCAGCTGAGCTTTGCAGCCTTGATGAGATACATATTTAAAGTATTTGCAATCTAAGGAAAGAAATAAAAAACAACACTAAGCTGTTTGATACAAGCAAATACAAAATGCTTTCATTGTTTAAATAATATGCAAACAGCTAAGAAACTTTTCAGTAATTAAAGGTATTAAAATCCAAGACATGCTCATTAGAGACATAACTGCAGCATTACATAATCTATCCTCATTTAGCCCAGCAAACATTCTACATGTATCTAAATGCTTGTTATCTTGCATAATACTTTTTTCTCTTTCATTTTTGCTCTGCAAATTAGATCAAAAAGTAAAATTTCAAGAGTGTAAAGCAGCATTGAAAACAGAGGCTCACATTGAGACCAGTAAGTACTGAAACGTCATTCAAGAAAATCTGAACTGGAATGCTTTTATTTGCCATCTGGAAATAAAATGGAGATATCTGGTCCTACTGAAAGCAAACCAAAAAATATCCAAAGAGCTTCCAATATGAGAAATTGTTCCATGAAGTGCAGAAGAAAAAGTTATAGAAAGGTGACAATGAACATGTTGCCCAACAACCAGAAGTCCAAACCAGTGTACAAGCCATTGTCTCCACACCATAATCCCATTCTCAATTTAGAAGCTGATTCTTGGGCTGATCCTCCCCTTGTTTTGGCAGCATTTCAAATAATGCTACTAAAGAGGTAATGATCTTCACCTTCTTACCACACTGATGATGTTTTTGATTCAGACTCTCCCTTCTTTTTCCTGCATTAAAACATCCCCATGATCCTTAATGACCAGCTGACACCTAGTATTGCTGAGACACTGCCCAGGCTGGCATCCAGCAAGCAAACTCTCTGCAGTCCTCACAATATTCCCTAAGGAGGGTGTTGTGCATTTTTGGAGTTATGGTTTGAAGGTCAAACAAGACAAACAGTATTGTGGCTGCTCAACAAGGCTAGATAAAACTGAATTCTAAACCATGATAAGACCAGTTGCCTCACTGTTAAATATCAAACCAACTTAAATACCTTTCATGTTCAGCTCCAAAGACAAGAACCCTTTATAAAAGAAAGAAAATGCATTTCTTCCAGGCAGCAGATCAGCTGCAAACCATGTCATTAGGGCTAGAAATAGACATTATTTCTGTTCCATGTAGTGAAAAGAAAAAAAAAATTATACCCTTTCCCAGTAGGATTCCAGCCACCAGAGCTTTTTCATATGAAAGGCTTTTATTTCCCTGCCAATTCCTTTTTGCCAAGTAACGGCTAAAATGGAAGGCTGGCCACCAGTCCTTCCTGGACTTCCACTCTTGCTTGATCCAGTCAAGATGTTTCTCAGAGCTGGAAAAAGGTTAAACAAGTTAGAAAGAGGTTAAAACGTAATGGAAAGATTATTAGGAGACAGTGATGTTATAATCAGCTTGCTACAAATGTCCTAAATTGCCAATATAGATACACTTGTTGTAGCATGCTTTTATACTTTTATACTTAACTTGTAATAGTTTTGGTTTTGTATCCCCTTGTTTTCCCAAATGGTGTACCCCTTTTTTCACCCCCTTCTTCTACCTGTGTAATCATTCTCCTGTGTTGACCTTCTCCCCCAAATCCCTGCCCTGGCTTTCTGTCAGTCACTCAGCATCCCATCCCCTCTATCTAGAACTTTTGGTTAAAGTCGTGGAGTGATTAGTCCGAGGCCAGGGGTCAGCCCCCCAAGTATTATTTTATACGCTATCCCAAATGTCCATCCCTAAGGTTGCATCCCTGGAGGGTCTTTTATTGGTCAGCAAATGTATCTACCTTCGGTCTCCTTCCCCCCTTTAAATGTAACCGTAAGATTCCTTTTGTTTTACTCTGAGCAAGGTGCATCACTGAGGTGTGGGGCTCCCTCAGGAGCATCGAATAAACCTTGGACTGGTCCCCTGCTGAGAGTCGGCCTTTTATCCTCTACCGATGTCTCCAGTGTCTCTTCTGATGGAAAGGTGACTAGCCTAGCTGCCCTCAGTACCCTCAGGGCACCAGAGAGTGTCCCCCCGCTGTTGGCCGCTTCGGGGCTGCCCTCCCGTTTTGTGCCAACCTGGGGCTGGCCAGAGTTCACTGGGAGGCACCCAGAGAGACGGAGACACACACTGACTTGATACCAAAACTAAAACACTAATAAAAGCATTTTTATATAAAACTAGCAATTCTTTTTTAATCCCTGGTGACACTTGTGAGGCTGGAAGTAAACTCTAGCAGTCTTATTAAGCCTTGGCAATAGCACAGATTATGGTGTGAAATGAAGCAAGCCTTTCACTTGTGTGCCAGTTTGTCAATAGTAATATGGAAGTTTCTCCAGGTTTGTCAACAAATGAGTAGTATGAAGTAGTATGAAGAGTAGTATGAAGCCTTAGGAAAGGTTTGTGTTACTCCAGGCATACTCAAAGACTAATTCATCCCAAGCAGTTATTACTGTTAGGCAATAACGCCCTTAAACCAAGCATTTCAGCAACACAAACTCCTTCCAGCCCCTTCAAGGGAACCTGCAAGAGACACAAAGAGGGAGTTCTTGCAAGGGAAGGTAGGGACAGGACAAGGAGGAACAGCTTTAAACTGGAAAAGGACAGGTTTAGATTAAATATTAGGAAGAAATTATGTCGGAACCCAGGACATCCCTCTGGATGCCCTGGATGGCTCAAAGCCCTGGTAAGGGGGGTCAGAGACCCTGTCAGGAAGCCAAAGACACTTGAGAATTCGATCTCAACCCATGGAGCAAATTACCAACTTTATATGAAGAACTACAAGTCACAAAAGTTTAAGTAGCATAACAGTACTTGTCACAGGGTGAAAGGTGAAATTTTTAAGAATTTTACTGTGGGGGTCTAGGGGGACAAGATGGAGAGTTTTGGGCATTGTCCTGTCCTTCTTCCTTCTTCTTCCTAGCCTCCATCTTCTTGGTTATGGTGGCATTTTGGGATTGGTTTAGACTATAAAGTCACTGTCTAACATAGGTGATAGGTATTGGAACATAACTGTAAATATCAAATACGTAGTTTGTAGTATAAAAGACAACACCAGTCCTGTGGGCGGGGAGTGTGACTCAGACTGACCTGTAGAACAGACCTTGGCAGGCCAGACAGAAAATATTTTAGATAAGAAATAAACGACCTTGAGAACGACAGCCAAAGACTCCTGATCTATTCTTCGACAGCTGGGTTGGGGAAAAAAGACTTTTAACACACCTCGGGATCATCTCAACCAGAGAAAACCCCGAGAAAATTATTCACTGTGATGGTGAGGCCCTGGGTCAGGAATGGCTTTAAACTTGCAAACAACAGGTTTAGATTAGATATTAGGAAGAAAATGTTCACTCTGATGGTGAGGCCCTGTGTCTGTTTTGTCCAATACAGTATTTGGTGAGTGGTCTCTCCCTGTCCTTCTCTCAACCCACAAGCAATTATTTTTTCTCTCCACATCCAGTTGCAGAGTGGGGGGATAGAGCAGCTTTGGTGTCACATCTCACAGTAACCATTTTGGAAATACACCTTTCATGGGGGCACTGTGCCAGGGTCAATCCATGACACATGGTCAGCACACTACACTGCTCTAGTGGGAGGTGCCCCTTTCAGATCACTTTCTACCCAAACTAGGATTCTATAAAACTATCTACAACAGGGAAGTGACATTCCCGTACAGTGACCAAAATGCCCAGTATATTTCAAGATATTATGAAGTTGTGTATGAAAGGCAAAAATGAAGGCAAATAGAGAGCACAGAGATCCACTGTCCAAAGGTGGAGACTTGAGGCATTTGTTTCAACACATTGCATCAGAGCTACTTACGTTACAATTTGTTTCACCTGTCTCGCCAAACAGCTCCATGCTTTTGCATTTTCTTTCCAGCCAGCATAATCCAAGGCTGCAAAAATAACTTCTAGGCCCAGCTGATGTTTTTTTCTTTTCTCTGGAAAAAGATGAGGCTGATTAAAGAATTACACAGACCAGGATGAACTCATTAGTAAGGCACAAATGAAACACAGTTCTCCACTCTGCCTGCCCCCCCCGCACCCCCCCACCAATGCTGCTACTTTAAACAAGTTATGTTTATTGGTATAAATTTCTTTAAAATCTCCAGGTTGTTCTCATTAGTTATGAAAGAAGAATCATGGTTTGGGTTGGAGAAGACCTTAAAAATCATCAAGTTGCAACCCCCTGCCCTTGGCAGGGACACCTTCTGCTAGAGCAGGTTGCTCAGAGCCCTAGCCATCCTGGCCTTGAACACTTCCTTCAACACTGTGGATGGGGCATCCACAGCTTCCCTGGGCAACCTGTGCCAGTGTCTCACCACCCTGACAATCAAGAATTTATTCCCAAAATCTCTTCTAAACCTCTCTTTGTCAGTTTGAAACCATTAACCCTCATCATATCAGAAGGGAGAACAATCTTTATTCATGTACATTTCACCAATCTGTTGACCTGCTGGGACATACCAAGCCACAAAAAGACAGCTTGGAATACAATTGATCAGCATGGAAAAAAATAGTCTTCAGAGCAGAAGACTTTTCTACCAGCTTGAAGATAATGCTCCCTTAAAGAGAAGGAAATTTTTGTTGTTTGATCATTAACAATGAACTAAAGAATAGATACATTCCAAGAAAGAAAAGAAAAAATAAAACTGCGATCCCAAAAATGGAATTCAGAGTAGGGTGCCTAAAAAAAACTGTTTTTGAGATCCTGCTTGTGCCTTACAACTGCTTGCTTTGCTCAGCCTTTAAAATAAAAAAAAAGCATTTGTTTACACAAGTTTGTAAATGACTGCTCATACATCCATCTAAAAGGTCACAGTGATTGAAAAGTTGGCATTTGAGTTACTTTTTTGGGATTATTTCTTAAGAAACAAAACTACTTTCAAAAGCAGAAAGAAGGCTGTAGGATAATCCAGAATAGTTTTCTGAAATTAGCATAAATTAAATGAACAAAGGTAAAGACTTACTTGATTTTTGAAGCATGGTATTAAAATCTATCATTAGTTCATGAGAAGGAACAATATCATGCAAGATCTGAAAAATAAAAGCAAAGCCCAGATAGAAGTCTTCAAAAGTTTTCACATTAAAATAACCTATCTGACCAAGAAAAGCACAGGCTTCAGAGCTTTGGGTGCTTTTAGTTCAGAAAATTAAGCAATCTTTGTAACTTTGTTATAAAGAATGGATCTCTAGGTCCATTGTGCACATTTGTGACACTGCTCTGTGACACCATAGATGAAATACCTTGATGGCTGCTGACAAACACTGCATGTGGCAAATACAACGTTCTGAAGGAACAGCCCAAATCCATATCCAGTGTCCCCTTTCTTGAAGGCAATGTAATTTTCTCCCTAGGACAGTTCTAGCTCCCCTGTCCACTGCTCTGTGCATTGGATCAGTTTCTGGACTTATCAAATAATCTGGACTTATCAAACAATTTCTATGATTCATCTCTCTTTTCTAGGAGACTCATGTCTAAAGCCACTGCTAAAATGCAGAGGAGAATTTAATGCAAATCTGCTACAGTATCAAAGTCTAAAACAAACACAACAGCCTTACAAACCTGTTTTTAAACAACACTTGCACTAAAAAAAGCACATTAGTGCCATCAAGTGGCAGAGCGCGGTTTGCAAGGAATACCAAGGGCAAGTGAAAGCAGGAATTTAAAAGCTTTACCCAACAAGGTCTTGTCTGCCAACAACCAGCAGACATTAACTTTTAGCTTTAATGCACAGCTCATTGAAAACAAGCAAAGAAGCAAATTGCTAGACAGGATCAATATGTGAAAGAGAAGGCATTTAATTATTTGTACAATATTGTAAAGATCAAACTGTAAGAGAAATCAATGCATGCTATGCACAAGTCTGCTGATACAGACTTCTGGAACCATGTGAACATGGTTCTCTGAGCTTGCTTACTGCCTTTAAGTGATATGGTGTACCATATCACTTAAACCCCCTAATCCCCTACTTCCCACAAAGAATACAATAGGATAAATAATGATACAGAGCTCAAGCAAGCTGTCAGACCACCCCATGACTGACACAGACTGTATCTCCTAAGGGATACCTACCTTCAGTGCAGATATGAGGGATTTCTTTGATTCACCCTGCCTCTTGAGGAACTGATAGAGGTAGACATGGGCATTGGGGTTAGCAGGGAACTTTGAGTTGTAGGCATATTCATTTAACACTTGGCGGGCCTCGTTGTGGTCTCCATAGAACTCCAGCAACTGGAAGTTAAGTCTGTCATTAGTTTGTCAGATACAGGCAACCAAACTCTTACAACTAATTCTGGACTGCCACAGAGCCAACCAGCAGCACAGTCTGTATGTAAGAGTGCAGTGTATTAGATAATGTATATTTGATAATTAGATACTTGCCCATCTTAATTTTACTGGCTACTCTCAGTACAGAGAGACAAGAATACACACACAGAAGCTACTCAGGGAGAAAAAGCCTTAATACCTACTTAATTGTCAAAGGATTATCGTCCCTTGCTCACTGGAAAGAGATGCTGAAGGCACCTGCCGTGTGTTTAGAGACAGAACTTGGCAGATGCCAGCACCAAGGAAAATTCTTAAGATGTGCTGTCCTAGATTACCAAGCAATGTGTATTCTATTTGCCATCTGTTAGAAGTGCGGCAGTTATCTTCTGCTAATTAGGCAGTTTTCCTTATCTCTTCCACAACCCATCCTTCCTCCAGAGAGATATCATCTGTTAAATGGGCCATTGACTGTCACTGCATGGCTGATAAAATTACAGCATCCCATTGTGAGATGCTCCACCCAGAGGGAGTTGCCAAGCATTCCTAACTAGATATAATCTGAGACTCTGGGACAGCAGAACAGCCTTTCCACTGGATTCCTGGAGGAACAGCTGCCTCTTCCACTAGATCAGAAGAAGACTATATCCTTCTACAGGATCCCTGCTCCAACAGAACCACACCTGCTACTCCAGGAGAACTGCAGCCACAATTCCAACTGGACTACTACCAACACCCTGACCCCACAGGGCGCCAGGCTGTATTCTGACTCTGTCAGTGTTGTTTTGATTTACTGCATTGTTTATTTTGTTTTCTTCCCTAATAAAGAACTGTTATTCCTGCTCCCATATCTTTGCCTGAGAATCCCCATTAATTTCAAATTTGTAACAATTCAGAGAGAGGGAGTTTACATTTTCCATTTCAGGGGAGGCTCTTGCCTTCCTTAGCAGACTTCTGTCTTTCCAAACCGAGACACATGTTTAGAGAAGTCAGAATTTATCAGTGTCCACAAGAAGTAAAAGATCTCTTTAAAATTACTAATTCTTAATTACAAATTCTAAGCAGATACTTAAAAAAGCCAAACCAAAACACAGAGGGGCTGCACATTTGGCATCTCTAACATTTCATGTATCCAGAGAAAACACTGCCCTGCCAAAAATCAAAGTGTTTTCAGGAATTTGAACTAAAGCAGCTATGCTCCAATTTTTGCAGTCCCACAAAAACAAAATATGTAAGGTGTTTGTCTATTTCTTTTTCTTGACAATGAACAGATAAAAGTTCTTTTTGTACTGTGCTCAGGCTCTGCAGCTCTACCAGGAGTACACTGCACTCTACATCAAAGCCCGTGACATGCACATACAAATGTGTTGCTTTTGAAATACTTTCTTTTACTCACACACACAGAAAATAATCTGCATATGGGCATCTTAATGAAAATTAGACAAGGAAACATAAAAGAAAGCCATCTTACATCCCTTATGGGATGCCCTTACATCCACATAGCATTTCACAAAGACATCCCAGACTCCAGGTATTTTAATAATTTCCTTCAAGTTCACTGCTGCCTTCCGGAAGTAACCGTGCATTTCCTGCTCAACAGTTAATTCTGCAAATCCATCCTCACCTACCAAAACACAAAGGAAGGTCACAAAGTTATTAACTCTGCCAAGCACAGGGATCTTGAAGTGCTGCACCTTAGAGATGATCACATTTTGGTAAGCAATGACTCCAGTCAGAGAGCTTTTAAGAAAAGAATCCTCAGTACTGAAACAAGAAATTTTCACTGTTCCTCATTCAAATTTATAATCAATTTCAACTTACGGAGCACAATGAGTAGGACGTCAAGAGAAGATGCTACCAGCACAAGGTCCATAAGCCAAATTCAACATCTGGTTTCCAGAGAAAGAGATCTAGTGCAAGTGATAAAACACTGCCAGTAGGTATATACAGAACAAGATGTGACACATGTAGCAACTTCCACATCTTTAAGGAAACTGAAATTCAAACACAAGTGTTGAGGGCTTTGCTATCACTCAACATTCCGCAGCAATCAAGCACTTACACACCTACTAAACCACTGCTTTAAGGGTATGCCCTTTGATGATTATTTAAGGTGATGCTGGCTGGACATGGGGAGAAACAGTTTCAGAAGAGCATTTCAGGGCACTTCAGAAAGTGCTATTTTGGCACTACTATCACTGCTGATATAGAATTCTGTACCAGCCACACTGTTACACACTGAAGTCTGGTAAAGGAAAAGGTGTCATTGCAAACCACAGCACCTGCATGACCAAGCTGAAGCTACAGCTCAATCCAAAAAACACTTACCATACTCTAACAGGATTTTCTTCTGCTTAGACCAGCTACAGTAGTCTAAGAGTCCCCTGTAAGCTTGAATCAGCTTCATTTCCTTATCCTGAATGGCTGTTTGCTCTCCAAACCTCCAGCTTTCTGCCACGGACAGGTTCTGATAGGCTTCATCTATTTGTCCATTACAGAGGAGATGGAAGACATGCTCCAAGCAGACCTGCAACCCAAACAGTCCAAAACACAGCGTTCCACACTCAAATGCAGAATTTTCAGCAATACAGAAAAGTTCTACACACATGTGCAGGGAAAGAGGAGACTTACTGACACGTATAAAAAATATTGCCAAGACATGTAATGAAGAATTTAAATTATTTGTGTTGCCTCAAAAACCTGCTTGTCTTTAACATGTGCTGTACCTATTTCAGAAGATCTAGAAATGACCTGAGGAAACCCAGCTGGGCTGCATTTACTTATTTTTCAGAGCACCTGAAAGAGGGATGTACTTCCACCCTACCATGTTGATTTGGCACCATAAGATAAAAGCCTAAACCTTCAGTTAGCTCCAGAAAACCCTTGTACGGAACTTCTTTTGAAGACCTTTACAAACAGGACAAAAGACAGAAGCACCATCCCATGTGCACAACAGCCAAGGAAATCAACAATATAGGTTTGAATGAGCCACCAGAAGAAAAAATCCATTAAAAAAAACTCCACAGCTGTGTAACACGGGCGTGCACAACATACAGTTTTATAATCAGATTACTCAAAAAGTGAGAGGGTAATGAGGCAAAATTTAAGTACAAATGTTTAGTCAGCAGCACAGTGGTCAAATTAAAGACTGGAAATAAAGCTTGGCAGGTAATTGCCTGTATTTACATGTCATTGGGACGTGCATGAAAATGAATTTGACCGGTTCAAGTTCAAATTAAAAGATAAAAGGGTTTTTAAGCACTTCTAAGGACTGAGAACATACATCTGTGATTGAACACGCAGACCAAATGAGATGAGGTTAGGTATAAAATGACCTTAGAATATCATGCAATTGGTAATTCAAATGTTAGGTTTGAGTTGTTTTGACACTAATGTCAGTAGTACATTTCAAAAGAGATCTGGAAGTTAATATTCAAATAAGTGTTCAGATAAATGTGAAAAATCGTCAGGGCTGCTTTAAGTACACTCACCTTCAAGTACCTTTTTACTCCTAAAGTTTTCATCTGTTCCATGAAACAGTTGAACTCTTTCATGCTGCTTTGGGAATGATGCCACAAAATTTCAGTTCCTATTCTCCAAATCATCTATTAATGGGGAGAAAGAAAATCAAAACCAACTTTAGTACAAAAATGGCAAGAGACATCACGTATAGTCTTACTAAACTTGTAGTTACTGTAGAACATGAAAAATGTACATTTGAGCTGCAAATAAAAAATACTACAAAGCATTATCTACTGTTAATAATCTAACCTACCTACTCATCCAGCAGGCCTTTTAGAGTCATTCAGTGGTTCAGAATTGCTCATTATAAATGCAGCACTCCAGAAGAGTTTATGAACACTGCATGCCAGAGGGTTCCTCCTCATCTCACTGAAAAGTTACGTTCTTCTTTGGTATCACTCCACTAAGATACCAGGTATACACAACTATTTGAACTTAATAGCAAAGATTATTTGATGTAGCTCCCCAACTACATGCACTTGTTTCCAAGGTCTGCAAGCTAGCCATACTCAAGTACTCCATTTATTTAAAAGCTCTGATCCTTTTCCTTCCACCTGCTTCCAACTCAACACCTGCAAGGAATTTTGCAGCTACTGCAAAAGCTGGTAACAATGTAACACACCAACTTGCAAACAGATTCTGAATGATGACATGCCAGAACCAAACACATTTACTGCTTTCCCATTTTAGAGGACTACTTTGACTTTTCATAGATACACTGCTGATAGAGTGAACTTATACCAAGCCAAGTCTTCTTCTGTGTCAAGGATCTATTTTTTAAAAAAATCAAGCCTGTGATTAGCTAATTAAGTATATGCTGCTTTTCAAGTATTTTTTCAACTGCAAAAGAACTCAGACAGGGAACATGGGCTTACCTCTGACGGACCAATGTGTTCTCTGGAATAGTCCTTCTCTAGTGACTCAACATAGCAGGTCAGGAACTCTGCAGCCCTTTTCCACTGCTTTTGGAGCAAGGCATCCTGAATGTAACTTAAACACGTTTCCTTGCTCTTCTTGAAGTTTAACTTGTGTTCATTGGAAGATACTAAATAAGCAAAAAAAAAAAAAAAAAAAAAAAAAAAAAAATCAACTGAGCCCACCGCAGTCACAGCCCTTATTCAGACAGCCACATGCTCTCCATTTCAGCATCTTTCTTTCTTGTATGGACACTACAGAGTCATCTTAAGCTCTGTGGTTTAGAAGATAAACAGGGAAGCAAGACTATGGGGCAAGCTGGAAATGTGATACAGAATGACATTTTCCATAAGCAGCACATAGCTGTGCTTGAAATTTCCATTCACTTGAAACAGTGAATAGGCAATTATGTCACACTATTGCCCTACTAGAATCAGGGAGCCATGGTGTTTTGATAACTTCACAGTACATTTTGTCATATTTTGGGGACTATTCTCTTCACTTATTAGTCATCACCTAAGTTTGTAATGCCATGGTGCTGCAGATTTGCAAGCACACAAACAAACAAGACTGTTCCAGTACCAAAGGCTAAACAATTCCCACAAAGATAAACATATAGAATTATTCTCATTTGAGTACAAGGCTGCAAACAGGCCCCCTTGGTCTTTTTACATCAACAGTAGTTCAATTTATACTGAAACCAGCATGAAACTGAAACTTCATTTCCAAGAAGTGTGTTTAAAGCTCACAGCTGTATGACCCTACAACAATGCTCATCCATAAAAAGCCACCTACAAGGCACATGAAGAGCTCAACAAGACACCTCCTACCTGGATGCTAGGAATAGAGTAGGCAGAAGAGTAACTCAAACAATGGCTAAGTCAGGTAATCACAGAACCATTAGAGTTAGAAGGGACCTCTGGAGATTATCCAGTCCAACCAGCTGCCAAGGCAGAGTCACCTGGAGCAGGTGACACAGGAAGGTGTCCAGCTGGGATCTGAAAAAGTGTCCAAAGAGGGAGACTCCACAAACTCCATGGGCAGCTGTTCCAATGCTCTGCCACCCTCAATATAAAGATCTCCTTCATGCTGAGGTGAAACTTCTTGTGCTTTAGTTTATGGCCACTGCACCACGTTCTACTGCTGGACACTCCTGAAAAGTCTGGCATCATGCCCTTAGCACCTGTCTTTGAGATATTTACATGCATTAACGAAATCCCCTCTCAGTCTTCTCCAGACTAAAGAGGCCCAGATCTCTCAGTCTCTCCTCATAAGAGATGTTCTAGACCTCGAATCATCCTTGGTGCCCTCTGCTGGACTCTCTCCAGGACCTCCATGTTTCTCCTGTTTCGAGGAGCCCAGAAATGGGCACAGCACTCCAGATGTGCCTCACCAGGGCTGAGTAGAGCAGAACGATCACCTCCCTCGACCTGCTGGCGGTGCTCTTCCCGATGATACCATGGGCCCTGCTGCCTGCAAGGGCACACCGCCAGCTCACCAAATAACTACGGTTATTTCGAACCTATTTCCCGGCGCTAATAGACAATTTGGCGGATAGAAGCTGAAACTCTGCCACCGTTCCCAGGGCAGCACGGAGTTCACAAAGAGAACGCACTAAACGCTCCGCCCTTACCCGGCTGCGGCGGCAGGAAGGGCAGGTGCAGGGGCGGCTGCAAGGCCGCCTGAGAGGCGGGGCTTCTCCTCCTCCTTCTCTTCCCCCTCACTTCCACTGCCGGCGCTTCCTCATCCTCTTCCAGGAAGCTGTCCATGGCGCCGCGGGCAGCCGGGCTCCGACCTCACCTTGCAGCTCAGGGGAGCGGGAGGCCCCGGCCGAGCCGAACACAAGGGCCGGGCAGGCAGCGGCCGAGCCACGCTCTCAGGCCGGCACCTCCCCCCGCACGCAGCAGGGGCGGGAATTCCCGGCAGGCGCCGCGTCCCCGGAAGCGTAGGGCGGGAGCGGTCCCTGCGCGTGCGGCCGCCGTGAGGGGCGGGACTGCGCGGTGCCTCCGTGGCATTTCTCTGCTTCTCCTTGCGCGTGGGGGAATGAGGGAATGCGGGCTAAGGGTGAAGCATGAGGGATGAGGTGGAGCACGGGGGGGTAGCTGGGTGTGTGCAGCGGTGTAGCAGAGAGGTGTTTATTTCTAGATGTACAGCAGTCAGAGAATGACTAGAACCGTGGATATATGCCCTGGTTACTCCAAAGATGAATTAGCGAGCTTCTCCTGTCACTCTTTCCATTAGCTGTATTGCTATTTGCCTGTTCCTTTGTAACTCATAACGTTGTACAGAAGGTAGAGATTCCGAATCAAAATCCTGTGCATTGTAGAGCAATGATGTTGCCTGTGCTCCCACTAGATTATGGGAATCCATCTGCCTTACCCACAGCATCTGGTTTATACAAATCTGGAACTTGTTTCTTTAAACCACTTTGGAATTGAGTTTGCCCTGAACTGTTTTGATGTGTATAAAGTCCAGTTTACCGCATAAGATCTCACAGAGTTGTTTGGGTTGTTGGTGGTTTTTTGTTTGTTTTTTTTGTTTGGTTTTTTTTTTTTTTCAGAACTGCCCTGGCATGGATTAAAAGTTCCTGTGATGGAGTGTCTTGGTTCAGCTGTGATCAATCAATAAGCAGTGTTGGGAATAGTGCAAGGCAGAACAGTTGTGTGCAGCATTTAAGCACTTAAACCTCAATATCATACCTTAATATGGTATTTAATAAATCAATGTGGGGAAAACAGAAGTCTCCCTTTGCGTTTTATTTATTTTTAATCCTGTGTTCTTCCAATAAAAGCCAGCATTTCAGTTCATAAGTATTGTTATTACTGGATAATTAACTTACTTGATTGATGACAATAAAATGTTATATAACGCCACATCTTTATCAGTGCCATTTTATTTGACTGCCCTTTATAATTTGTACCTTGTGTGAGTGCCTCTCTGATCACTGGCATTCCCCAAGTTTGATGTCAGTTCCTACAACACTCCTGATATTCTGTTAGCTCAGTATTCTAATTTCAGAATCCAACTTATCCCCCATTTTTTGGTAAAAGTTCTCACACTTGCATGCAAGAACACTTACTTTTGGCTTGTTATTTTTATTTTCCTGTGTCATACATAAGTGAGTTGTCACAGTTATATTCTCTGAAAAAACTCTTTGCCCAGGATTATGCTCCTGGGGAGCTGAAAAGCCTCAGAGAAAAATGAAAACAATAATTATCTGATTTACTTTTCCTGTGTTTTGCTGCTTTGGAATGTGGCTTAGACATTGTTTACCAACAGGTGCATGTTTTATTGGTTTCATGTGAATTGTTGTAACTTAATGACCAATCACAGTCAGGCTGTGTCAGGACTGGAAGGAGTCATGAGTTTTCACTATCATTCTTTGTAACCTTCTGTCTGTATCCTTTCTATCTTTCTTTAGTATAGTTTAGTATAGCATTCTTTAATATAATATTATAGAAAATAAAATAATAAATTAGCCTTCTAAAAATATGGAGTCAGATTCATCAATTTCCTCCCAACAACAGGGACCCCAGAAACTGCCACAGTGAGTGTTTCCTGATCCTTAGGTAAACCTAGCCAACTGATCTTGTTAATGGGTATCAGCTACTTTAGTAGATATTTTACTGTAGAAGAGATAGGAGAATTGCTTTTTAAGAGTAGGTGAATGTTAGGTACCTCGTGTACAGTGGGACTACACTCACAGCTGAATACATATTTCCAAGATTGGGGTTGAAAACTGGAAAGAAATTTTGCCTGAAATATCTTAATTGAACTAAGTGAAATATTTTTCTTTTCTTTCACACATTGAGGAAAGCTAGGTATGTTAATAAGTGGCTACCTTATTACCCTGAAATACTTGAAATTGTAGGAAATACTTGACAGTTGCAATGGTAAACTTGTGTATATGTATCAACTGCAAGCTGCTCATTATTGTACAATAAAGGCAGTACAAGACTTATACAAGAAGTATGTGATTTTGTTTTTCTTCACATTTCCCTTTCTTGCCCTTGTTTTTACAACCACAGACACCTTTTATTACCTTTTATCTTGGTCTTTTATAAAGATAAGCTTGATAAATTGTATTGATGGAAAATGACCAAACGGCTCTTTCTTCACAAGAAATTGGACCTAATACTGTGGGCATTACACAACAGGAAATGTTGAGAAAAGAATGCTTATCTTTCACTCACAGAGTTATCCTAAAATGTGTCTTGATTTAATTTATTTCCATATTGTAAGTTGTGACAAACTTCTAGAATTCTAAACGTCTTCTTTTCTGAGTTAGGCTTTCTTAGAGCTTTTAATCAGCCAACATCAGCAATGGCAAATAGGTATCACCTCATTCTCTAAGATGTAAAACAAGAATGTCAACACCATTGCAGGAGAGCTACAGCCGCTATATTGCACTAGGCCTGGAGAAAACACATGAGCACTGGGTGAATGAATCATTGCATTCCTGTAGTATGTGGGTCCTGGGGATACACAGGACCATAAGAAATGCCAGGGTGTCCGTAGGATGCTGGCAAAGAGGTACCAACACCTGTTTCTACCTTGACACTTTTTCATAATGTGATTAAAATATTAAACTGCTCTAGGTGGGGGCTGAAAATGAAACACATATTTTTCAGAGATTACACAGCAGTAACTAAGCCTGGATCTAAGGCTTTGTAGAAAGAGAATGTGGAAATGAGAGTCTGGAGCAAAAATCAATAGGCCTGAGGATGCAAGAGGAACACATGCAATTAGCAACAGTGATTGCTAAGTCTTGAGATGTAGCATTTAAAAGTACTCTTCAAAAGCTCTTGGAAAAAACCCTCAGCTGCTTTGACAAGCACCAAAAAAATTAATTGCTCACCTTGACTATCAGTTCTGTGAGTGCCTATTCATTTTGGGAGCAGCTTCAGAATTTGCTCTGGAAAGTAGAAAAAAATACAAAAAATGTAGTAATTTGATTCACCAGCAAGAGGATTGTCTTATGTCACCTGTCCTTTCTTACCTGCACCTTTTATTCTCTATCTATTCAGGCTACTGTGCTGAACAAATAACATGGGTCTGAAAAAGAGAAGTTTTGTTCATCTGCATTGTAACTTCTGCTGTCATTTTGCCATTTTAGATCTCTAAGGCAATGTTAAGGTGGTGAATGTGAAGAAAAGGCAGTGGTAAGTGCAGGCACACTTGTGAGCAGCACATATTTTGGCTTGCAAACACTCAACACTGAAAATGTACCAGCAAGTGGAAGCTGCAGCTACAGAAGGACAAGGATAGGCCTGTTGGGGAATCCTGCGCTTTCGGCTACTCGCTGTGAAACCAAACACTTTCCCCAGTGCTGGGTCACGGCTGAATGAGCTCCACTGCCCTCTGCACCGCAGGTGTAACCTCAAACTCTCGGAGGTCACCGGGAAAGTGGCGGCTGCTCCTCTCCAGCAGAGATAAGAACTGCTCGGCGGAGCAGGAGGGAGAGCAGCCAAGTGCTTGTTCGGATCTGTCCTTACAGGGAGGCAGCTACAACCTTTCTGTAGGTTCTTGTTACTCCAGCGATCCTCACCTGGAGAAAGCCGCACAAATAAGGGGCAGGACCTTCCTTCTTTTCTGGCCTGTGAAGCAGGAAAAGTAGCCGGACTCCTGCTCGGTGCAGCGGCCAGGGGTGCTGCCTCCTCGGGATTGGGATCCTGCCGCCGGCAGGGAGCGAGGGAGAGTCCGTGCGTTACCCTCCTCCCGCGGCGGCGGCGGGGCCGGGCTTGTCCCTCCCCCGCCACATCGCCCTCCCGCCGGCGCTGCTGACGTGTCTGCTCCCTCCTTCCCGGCCCGGCTGCCTCCTTCCGCGGCGCTCGCCGACATGGCCGCAGCGGCGCCGCCGGAGGCCCGGCTGCTGCTCGCCCTGCTGCTGCTGCTGCCGCTGCCGCCGCCTCCGGGCTTGCGCTGCGCCGCCGCGCCCGACCTGGGCCGCCGCTTCGCCGAGCGCAAGCGCTGCGCCGACCTCGAGTGCAGCAGTGAGTGGGGGCAGCGGGCACGGCCCCGGCGAGGGAGTTGTGGGCGAAGATGCCTGCCGGAGGCTCTTCTCTAAGCCCCCTCCTTTCGCCGACTCGTGCACGGAAATTGGGGAGGATCGGGGAAACGGGAACGCGACGCTCACGTGCGCCGTCCCTCTCTGCTCGGCCAAGTTTTCAGATCCCCGCAGCTCCGTGTTTCGTTTTCTCCCCCGACTGCAGAGCCCTCTCGTGATAAACCCGCGGATGTTCTCTGGAATAATTTCAGGACCGGTTTGCTAGGACACAGATGTCATCTTTCTGATTTAACATTAATAACTAGCTTCATAGCTCACCCCTGAAGTGTAGTTCTCCAGTGCTTTATCAAACGCATGTCTTGACTACAATCCTTCTTTACTTTTTTAGCTATAACTTGCCTTTTTAAAATTTTAGTTATAACTTGGCTTGTTTGTTTGTGTGAATTATAGCTAAAAATTTCTTAGTTATACTTTCAATTTAGTTATATTTTTATTAATTAATTTCTTACTTAGACTTTCAATTTACTTTATCTCTTGACCCAATCTAGAAAATAGCAAAGTGGAACATGCAAGGTCTTGTTTACTGCCAGTTAGTAAAGACACTTTCCATGTAAATTATTTTTAAAGTCATACTCTTCTCTTTGTTTTCTTTGGACAGTGTTAATGTGCCGAGGGAAGGCCATGCAGGATTTTAAAGGTCCAGATTGTCGCTTTGTAAATTTTAAGAAGGGAGAAGCAGTGTATGTATATTATAAACTAATAGGAGAATCCACTGAGCTTTGGGCTGGAAGCGTAAGTACTGTAGAGCATTTCTTCAGTTTGCTCTTCTTGGTAATCTGTTTTCATTCCTTTTACCTTGTAAGAGAATGCTTGGAGTTTTGAACATGGCTAAACACAGCGAATGTTGCTTTGTCATGAGGCCAGTGGGAAATGGGATGAGGTTTGATCAAACCTGAGTGCTGTGAAAAATAGGCAACGCTAAAGTGTCTAAAAACTGTTAGAAAACTGCCTTTGTGTTGAAAACCTCCTATTGCAGCACTGTCAGTGGTGGTGGCCACAGGGCCACCTGGAAGCGAAGCCTCTCTTCCCATTTAGGGAGACTTAAGCCTGTGCTTGTATTTTCCCATGACATGGTCTTATCCTTCGCTCTGTAATCCTGTTAAAGAACATTGCATGTGCATGTTTTAATTATGCCTCTCATCCTAATATTCATCTGCCTTCTTGCCCTTTTTATCTAAGCTGCATGCAGTGTTGGAGGAAAAATAAGTAGTAAAACTAGAAAGGATTAGGGTAAATTTGATTTCTGTAAGGTCTGTCTCTCTTAGCTCTGCTGTAGCTTGCAGAGTAGTGGCCTTGTCTGAGTCACGTCCTTGGACAATCTCAGAGGCTTCTGCTGATGGAGAAAGAACATCCCCATACTTGCAGTTACTTTATAGAAAGCTCCTCTCGACTTTCATAAGCACCTTATTTGCCTGGCAGAGGCAGAACTGAGATACCATGGAGGAAGAGCAGTTTTTGTAGGCTTCCCTTGAAAATGTTGGTAATCCAGAGGTTGCTTAGACCTAGTCCCTGTTACTTCCTCCCCATGTTTCCCCTACATCCTTTTTAGTGTCTAAATTGTTTACTTCAACCTCTTTTGTTACTCTAGTTTTCTACAAAGGATAAACAATTTTGACAGTGGTCTTGGCTGCTTGACACCACAGCTGGGTATTGACTGTGGGGCCAGAGGTTTAGTGAAAATCAGGATCTATCACTTTCTGTAACCACTTCAGGCTGGGCGAGCTCTCAGTTAGAGCTGAATCCAATTAGAATGATACAGAAGTGAACAGAAAAACTGCTAAAGAAGAGTTAATAATTCTATCATGGTGGTAATTCCCTTCTGACATGTACTGTACCATAAATAATCTGGGTGATTCGTTGGTACGGGTTTTCAGGGCTGCAGTTCTTGAGATGCAGAGTAGCAGCGTGGGGCAAATTTTGCATCCTCTAACAAGGTATAATGTAGGCTGCAAGATCAGACAACAGGTTAAGGTAATTGCTGAGTTAATATTCAGTTTAATTATTCACTGATAGGCAGCTCATGCAACAGTTAGGTGTGTCTCCAAGTTAAAAGGATGTTTGCTTTGAGTTTAAAGTAAAAGCTGCAGCTGGCAGGTCGGAAAGAATTGCCAAGCTCCATTTTATTTGTTGTCGTTTTTCAACTGTGTTACATGATTTTCAGTGCTCCTTTTAGGGCAGCGCTGCCAGACTGATTCCTTTTGATTGGTAGCTATAATCTTTATTTCTTTTATCCCTCTTGGATTGACTGCTGCTGCATTAATCATAACGCTGCAATAACCAGCATGGAAGCACTGCAGCAGAGTCAGAGGTGCCTGCCTTTGCATTTTGAGTAGGGCACTGGCACAGCTGCCCCTGTCCCTGACTCACAGGTAGGACTGGGGTCTTTCCTGTATCGTGACTTCCTGTGTCAAATTTGGCTGGGCAGCCTGATTCCCCATGCCAGGTTTGGTTGGGCAGCTTGATTTATGCAGGCCAGCCATGCCTGCTGTGTGAAATCTTGGAGCCAGGGGGAAGCTGCTGCTTGCTAATTAAAACCAGGCTACCCAGTGAGGTCTGCCATCAAAAGAATTCCAATGGAAGGCATGCTGCCTTCTGCCTTGGCCCTTTTGGGATCTCATTGCGTGACTTCACGTGGGTTTTGTGTGCATTATTTGATCTCATCCATGTACCCCGCTGCTTTTTTCCATTCCACAAAGTTTTTTTGGGGGGAGGATTTATTAGGGCAGAATAGAAGCTATGAAATCAAAGGCTAACTGGAGTTCTGATTGTCAGGTGTGAGCAGAGGTCAGGGGAATGTGTGTATGAGAAGCTTCAACTAATGCAACCTGGGGCTTATTTCAAACAAGTTGTAAATACAGATTCTAATTCCAAAATCAATTTGAAGGAGCCATGAGAAATACAATAGTATTTCTGACCTGAAGGGAGATGATCTAATAAGAAAAGGAGCCTTTCACCAAGGCTGAAAAATTTATAGCAGTTGGGACTAGGCTTTATTTGCATTTGCTTTTCTAATTCACTTCACCCTTTTCAAGCTATTGTTGATTTTTTCTTTCCCTGTGCCAGTAAACATGTTGTATTTTGACAAAATAGCTCCTTTATTATTATTATTTTGTGGTGCCAGTCTTGAATATTAAATTGCTTACAGAGCATACATTATGTTCACTGGGTATTTTGCATGTGAAAAAATTCTGGAACCCAGCTGTAATATGTATTCTATGCATTATATGGCCTGTAGTTTTTAGCAGAGCTCTCTAAACCTCAATAGTAAAGCAAAGCCAAATGCTTGGAAAATACTCTGTGACCATTATTTAATAGTCATTTTATGTTATGAATTTCATTAATACATCAGTTGCAGGAAAATGCTTGATTTTTTTCCCCCAAAGCCAAAAGATAGAGCATATCAGGTGCTCTCGTTGTCCTCTGCACAGTGTTTTGCTGTAAATCAGTCTCCTTTTCAGCATCAATCTTCTGTTGCTTACACCATCAAGTTGTTTTATGTCCTGTTTTTCCTGTATTCTGCCCTCACTTTAGCAGGGTCTGAAGCTCCAGAAGTACTTCAGATCTTTCTAAATAAAACTTGCTGCTTTTCCACAAAGCATTTTGTCAAAGACACTTTAAGGTTGTTATTTTATCTTATGGCTAAGGGATGAATTTAATACCTTTGATTCAAGGTGTAGAAAACTATTTCTGGCCTCATATTACAAGAAAGGAATTTAACTGCAGATTGTGGCTTCTTTGTATTGTTTTTGTTTTATTTTGTTTGTTTTCAAACCTTGTACGTAGGTTTGTAGAAAAGAAGACAGGATGGATAAAATTAAGTAGAACGGGAAGGCAATATTTCGGGAGGACCCAGGGGGTCAGGGCAATACTGTGTTTTCTTAACACTGCAATGCTCTGCAGGTGCAAACCAGCTCTTCTTTGCCCTGTGTTCTGAAGTTTTAGTTACCTGTGATGCCTGTGCTTTAGGGATGTGGGCTTTAAGATTAAAAAAATTTGAACATCATCTTCCCCAGCTGTCTGTTTTCTGATAGATGATGTGAGAGTGTGGCTTCGTAGTCAGTGAATCTGCAGCAGCTGCCTGTAACACATGGGCATCAGGGGAGCCAGATGCTATACACATAGCCACATGTTTTGTCCATGCACAACTTTTTAGCTGGGAAGAGAGTGGCTATTTCTCTCTTATACACTTGGATTGACAGAGCCTTTCTTCTGTCGTGTCTGTAGAGAATGAATGTTTCCTTTATTTGCACAATGAGGCATTTTTTTCCTCTTACAAGAGAGGGCTTGTAAGGAGAGAAGCAGATGAAATTTTGGGCAGGCAGATCCCATATGGCTTATAAACCACAGAAGTGGCTAGCTGGGTCACTGCAAAGGACTTGTATGGCCAGCAGCTTGGATTGCAATAAAGGAGTTTCAATTTGTGATGACTGATTATAATGGTTGTCACAGAGATTAGTCTGTAAGGAGGCTTTGAAGCTCTAACTTATGTTTTCAGAAAGATCATTAAAAACTGGAGTTGAAGTTTAGAGAGAGAAATAAACCAATTTACAATTAAACTCGTGTGTACTACACAAAAACAAGCTTTTGATTTGACTTGTCTAAATGAATTTCCCATTCCCATTGGTAATTCCCAATAATAAAGATAATTCCTAATAATAATCATACATACATTATCTGTTTTCAGTAAGAGAGCAATATCT